CCAAATTATGATTTAAGACTTCAAGGTTTTCGGCCTCATGCACCAGTTGGACTTAATACAGATATTTCTCTACAACAGTTTTCTGCAAAACATAATGGTTTATATCTATATGTCGGAAGAATATTACGACCTATATGGAATATGCGTTGTATCAAACAAGAAATTGTAAACAACAAAACTCAAGTAAATTAATATAAACTTTTCTTTATTTGTTTATATACATTCTAGTTTATTCATATTATAATTTCAGATTTCTAGTACAATTTCAACTAGACAAGTTAGTTGGATTTTAAGTCTCTTACAAGCATTAAGATCATTTCTCAATAAAAATACCCATATTACTAAGCAGTATGTTTTTATATTATTTCAATAATTTCATGATGATTAAATTTTATTTGAATTTTATTTGGAATTATTTATTGATTTTCAGACATGGTACTAATAGGACAACTGATGGATTTGAAACAACTATACGTAGTCATTGTCAAGAACCAATTGTTGAAGAAAGGAATTCTTTAGCTGCATTAAAAATTTTTATTACTCATGCCTGTGAAGTATTAGAACTTTGGAAAATTCTATGTGAAAATCATTTAAATAATATTGTGAATTGTTTATCAAAGGTTAAATATATGTTATATTTTTTTTATAAAAAAAATAGAAAATTTTATTGATTTTTGATTATTTTTCTATTTAATTTATAGGATCAAATTAATCAATTTTCTACGGCTACATTTCGAGATTTAATTTTAATTGGTCATGAAATTTCTTCATTGTTGATCATTCATCTTATAGATAGGTAAGCTAATTAAATAAATTATAAAAGTATTTTTATTAATTGTAACAAATATTCTAAAGTTATCTTGCAGATAATGCATCTGTTGATGCTGTTAGTCAAAAATTACGAGAAGTTTGCCCAAATTTATATAGAAATGAAGATGCTGTCTGTTCTAAGGTATAAAGCTAAGAAAAATATGATTTTATTATTGTATATTATTAATATTTTTATTAATTTTAGGCCAATGAAATAATCTTAAAAGCAAAAAGCTGTACAAATCCCAAAGAAAAGGAATGTTATTTGCGATCTGCTTTAAAAGTAAATACATAATATAATAATCAATTATTTATATTAAAAGATATAAATTAGATATATACAATAAAATACATAATAATAATAACATAAAATTATTATACAATATAACATATAATACATTATTAATATTCATAATATATTTAATAACATATAATAACATTTTGATATTGATTTGCATAATTTTATATTTTTTATTTATATCAAATATTATTCACATTTTAGCTTTGTAAAGAAGTTGCTCCCAGGTTAAATTTAAGTGCAGTATGTCAACAATTCATTGCTTGTCAATTTTATGTAGGTGTACTTGAATTATGTATATCTTGTGCAGAAAGAGTAGATCCTAATAACACTGCTTTACATTATTATAAAAATAATGAACCAAAAGAAGATCAAGAAGGTTATATGAAAAGGTATTAACTATTATAAAATGATATTTTTAATCAATGATGTAATAATTTCTTTTATATTAGATTAGAAATTTATAAAGAATTCATCACACTATTGGACCATCTCTATAATCAAAGCATCTCTAATCCATTAACTCCCACTATATCTAGTAAAGCTGGATCTCCTCCACAAAATAGTTCAACAGTTCCTGTTACTCCAGCAAAAGAAATAGTAAGATATAATTTTTTTTAAACTAAATTAAATTTCTTTTGAAAAATGGAATGAAACTTCTATATTCGTCTATATAATTATATATAATTATATAATTCTATATAATTTTATTTATATATTTTTTGATAAAAAAAAATGCTTCAATATGCACAAAAATTCAATATTCACCAAAAATTTCTTATACATAATTCATTTTATAGCATTATAATTTCTGAAATAAAAATAAATTAAATATATAAATATAATAAATAAAAATAAATTTCTGTTTAAATTTGTATTTATTTATAAATCTAATTCAAGATTAAGAACCAATTATTTTCTTTTTTGTTAATTTCAATTTTAAAAATTTAATATTTTTTTCTCTTTTTATAAATATATTATACATATCCATTTTTCAGAAATGAATTAATGATTAATATAAAGAAGATTTTTTGCTACATGTTATTTTGTATTAAAATTTATATTTTAGTTACAGAATATTATAACTGATGCATTACATTCTACATGTGAAATTCTCCATGCTTCAGTGTATGCTTGGATGATGGAAAGAAGACTTCATGGAGAACTTATAGCTCTAGCAGCACCTTCTTTAGAAACTTATCTTACCCGTGTTAATGCGCCAGATTTACTCTGGCAGTTTTATGAAAAAAATAAAAATCATGCTGCTGCAGCTAAAATCTTAGATGCTTTAGCAACAAAAGAGTATGTATAAAAATACATAGAGTATGTATTTTATACAAGAGTATATATAAAAATAATTGTTATAAATTAAATTTATTGGTTTTTTCTTAAATCAAAAAACTTTGTTTTTCATTTCTTTTAATAGATCAAATATACCACTGTCACAGAGAGTTGAATATTTAGCTCGAGCAGTAGTTTGTATGCGAAGCGACCAAGCTGGATATGCTCCATATCTTGATATATTTTTACGTGAATTAGAAGACAAAGTAGAAGTTGCTAGAATACAACAACAGGTACATAATTATAGATATATAATTATATTATATATAAAAAATAGATTATATTTATATAGCAGATATAAGTATACAATTATAAATATTACAGTAGAACTAGTGAATTTATTTATAAAATACAGTTTATATTGTTTTACAGATATTAGATACGATTTGTAATCAACATCTTAGCGATCGGCTTAATGAAGAAATATTTAGAGCATTAAATTCTTCATTACTTGATATTACAAAGGTATATTTCAACTTAAGCTATAAATTAAATAATTTTACTATAGCTATAAATTAATGAAATTATGTATATGAAATTATATAATTACTATATATAATTACTAGTACTATATATAATTATATTAATTATTTTTTTTATTTATTAATTATAGTTATACGAAAAATATGCAGATCCTTTGCAATTATCAGAGTGTAAATTAGCAATAATTCATTGTTCTGGTCATCAAGATGCAATGTTAATCCAAGAAATTTGGACTAATATTATAAACAATGGTATTCAAATTTTTTTATTTTATATATTTATTATTTTAATATAATTATAAATAATTTCATTTAAACAACATTTAGAATTAAAAGATGCATCAACAGCAGAGGATAAGATGACTATTTTAATGAGTAAAATTATATCTTTGGGACAGGAATATTCAGGATCACCACATTGTTTTCCAGTTGGTAATAATTCTTTTATGATATAAAATAATAAAAGTTTTATTACGTAAAATGAAATTGCAAAATATATTTTTTATATTTTTTTTAGACTTCCTGATAAAACAATTAGAAATAAAAGCATGTAAATTAAATGTGTCAAATACTGGAATTATATCTGGATTTTTGCAATTAGGAGTATCAATGGAAGACCTTTTAGATATATATAAGTAAGTATAATATATATAATAATATATATTTAGAATTAATAGATAATATTTTCTATTAGAATGATTGGCAAAGATACTCGAACTTGGTTGAATGAAGGAAATGAATTTCATCTTATTGAATCAACTGCAAATTTAATCAATTATTTCATATCGCATTCAAACATAACCAACACTTTTATTAAGTGAGTTTTTCATTTAATAATCAATGAATATGATCTTTTATTTACTCTTTCTGTTAAGTAAATAATCTAATA